GCCGCTGCGGGCGCAGGTCGGGTTTGAGGCGCCGGCGGAGCCCCTGTCTGCGGCCTTGTCCCAGGCGCAGCAGCAGCAGCAGCAGCAGCAGCAAGAGTCGTTGCCGCGCGCCGCGACGGCGTTTCAGCCCGTCCTCGCGCTCCCGCCGCAGCCGTTTGGCTCCGCTGCGGCCGCCCTCGCGCCGGGCTGCGCGGACCCTGGGCTGGACGCGGCGGACGACGACTTCTCCATAGTCTACGCCGCCGGCTCGGCCGGCGACGATGATGGCGCCGGCGGCGCCCTCGCGTACGACGAGGTCGCCGACTGCCTCGGGTCGCCGCGTCATGGCACGCCCTCTGAGGCTTCGACGTGTTTCGATGAGGATGAGGAGGAGGGGTTGCCCGCCTTTGGTGGCCGGGGCGCCGCGGCCTGCGCGGGCGCCCAGAGCGGAGGGTCAGAGGGCTGCGTGCGGGGCGGCCTGATGTTCCGCGCGCCCGCCGCGGCGGCGCCATCGGCGGCGCCGGCTGGCGCCGGCGCGGGGCGGCGGCGCAGCCTGCTGACCGCGGGGCTGCAGCAGCAGCGGCAGGCGCGGCCGTGGCTGCTGGGGCTGTCGGACGGGCTCGTGGGGCCGCAGCCGCGCCCCTACAATGCGCCTCACCCGCAGCACGCGCTGCCGCTGTGGGCGCAGCAGCTCGCCGCCACAGCCGCGGCGCAGCAGCATCAGCAGCACCCGCAGCAGCAAGCCCAGCTGACGGCGCACCCGCAGCTGTTTGCGGCCGCCGCGCCCGTGCAGCGCGCATGGTGAGCGGCCGCATGGCGCTGCGGCGCCTGTCGCCGCGCCGCTGCGCCGCCTTGCTCTCACGACCCCCCTTTCTGCTGGCTGCCCAACGTATTGTAGCTTTGCTGCAGTCGGCAACCGAGCACTTCCCTTTTCGCACCTGAACAACTGGCAAGCGATGGCCGGCGTGCGCGCACTCTCGTGCACCCCACCAATCGCCAATGCACGGCCCGATGCGCACCAATCGCCGCGCCCCGCGCGCGCGCCGCCGTGCGCCTCGCGTGGCCGCGCGCGCCGCGAGCGCGGCCCCGCGCCCCCTCTGTTCCGCCCCGCCGCGGCCGCGGCCCGCCGCGCCGCGGCGGGGCCCCTCAGCACTTGGCTTCCTGTGCCCGCGCCGCCTGTCGTGCGCGCGCCCAACGCAATGCCAGAATCCCGGGGATCCGATCGCATTGCAATGCCAGTGGTCATCTCTCAAGAGTGTTGCCGTTTCGTTTTCAAGAGCGCCGGATGGGCTCGCGCGGTGCTCTTGTGCACCCAGCCCTGTGTGCGCGGCTGCGCACGCCCGGGGCTGCTCCCGTGCTGCCGCATGGGCCGCGCGAGCGCTTCCAGCGAAGAGTCTTGTAGCCGACCAATGCTTGATTGTGTGCTACCGCGTCCCTGCCGTGGCCGCCGGCCACGCGGCGCATCGAGCTGCGCCCGTCCAGCGCCGCACCCGCACGCGCCACCGAAACTAATGTGGGTCACGCGCGCGCCGTGTGCGCTGAATGCAGGGCGCCCCTGCCCGCCAGGTTCGCCGCTCGCCGGTCGCGAGCGGCTTGCCGCCTGGCGCGGGCGGTTAGATCCGAGTGTTGCTGGGCTGCGAAACCTAGTGCTACAAGTGTGTGTGTGCCTGTGCTGCTGCAACCTCAAACATTGTGAAGCTTCCCGCCTGTCGACCGCGTGAACTTCGAACCGTGTGACGGCGCGTGCTGGGCCTTCAGCTCCCTTAGCTTTCCCTGCCCTGGGGATTGCGCAGCGCGAGCACCAATCCAGCTGCGCCCTGTCGCGGGCATACGGCATCGCCGCCTACCCAGCTGCCGCCCTGTAAATAGTTGCCACGCGCGCGCCCGCCCACCTTTACCGGCGGTTTTTTGGCCGGCGGCCCCCCAAATCGCGCGGTCTTGTGAGCGTTGTGCAGCGCGCAGATGCCGCGCCCTCTGGCAGGGCCCGAACTTCGGCTTGCTGTTCCGTTCCAAGCCGTGGGTTTCACCCGCACCCCTCCCCTTGTGGGACGGCCGGGGCCGTGAATGCGCCCCGTTGCCCTCCTCATGTTTTGGGGTCTGGAGTGTAATAACCCAAACTTTCTCAGCAGTCCGGGACACAGTGCACGGCCCAGCTGCAGTGTGAGGCTGGGCCGGCTGGGGCAAGGGGCCTGCCAGCGCGTGGGTGGGGTTGGGCGACGGGTTGGGCCACGTGGGGGGAAATCTTTGGGGCGGCAAGGATGTGGC